AAAAAAGACCATAAAATTTAATTTTAAAACTTTTAAAAAAATTTTTTTTATTGATTTAGATCAAATGTTGTACATGGGGCATTTCTTAAATGTCCTGGACCACTAATATATCCAGGACCAGTAGTACAAACCACAAGTTAAATGTGAGAAATACCTTTACCACCTTTATTAACTCAACAAATTATTAAAACCAATATAAAACTAAACCAAAGCAATTCAAAAATGTTTTGTAAGCATGTGTTGAAAAATTAGGAGAGGAGGATGGGAAGAAAAAATGGTTTCCAAACAAAAAGGATTGAATAATTCGGCATTTAAAAAAATGTCCTAATTTTTTTGAAAAAACTAATGCTGATCAGCAAGTGATAATTTTTAAGCTGCAACAAAGCAAAAATATATCATCAATATCTGCAAATCCAGATCAATAATAGTATTAAATGCTTGTTTAAATATCTATCTTGCACACTTAAAATTGATTTACTTTTGTTTTTTTTTTAAATAGGTATTCCACATTAACTTCACCTTGCTCAATTTCTACAACTTCTCAAACCTTCTTGACAAATTTTTTCTCAAATAAAATGATTTCCAGGTCTTCATCATATGGTCCCATGGATAATTACATAGTTTGGCCTTTATCTACAAATGATCAAAAAAAATTTAATGCCTTATTACTTAGACTTGAAGTTTCTTGTGTATGGGTATTATCATGCGTTAATAAACCGGAAGCTAAAGAATTTTTCAATTTTTTGAATCCTTCTTTCAAATTACCAGATTGTCATGTTCTTGGTGGTGAAATTTTAAAAGTTATTGTTAATTTGGATAAAGCTATGGAAATACCACTCAAGAAGAACCATTAGGTGCAACTTTAACCTTTGATGAATGGTTTAACATAAAAATAAATATTTATTAGGAACAGTCTTATTGACCTCTGAAGGTAAACTTTACATATGGAAAGCATATAATGTAAGTTCAGAATGTGAAACTTATATTGAAGTAATGAACAAAACAAAAATGATGCTTACAGAACTAAAAGATAAGGAGGTTAATGTCTGTGATGTTTGTCACTAATAGTGCATCACTATATATGACAGCTTGGTGCATTGATTTATTATTATTATTATTATTATTATTATTATTATTATATTTATCTAAAAATTTTATTTTTTACATAAGCTGCAGAATCTGAAGATGGTGCTGTAACAAGGTTAACATATGAATGTACAAAACCAGGTAAACACAACAGATCTTACAAAACACCATAATGTCCATTCTCAAAAATAGAACGTCCATGACATATTAACCTTTCTTTTCCAAAGTAAAATAGAATAATATCCAATGATAATAAATTTGGTGAAGTTTCAAATGTAAATGTGGAAAGTGTAGGCAGTTTGATCATTATGCAAGCACATGTACAGATTGAATAGTAATTTGAGATATGCTAATAATTTAAGCTTCTTATCTAAATTATTTATGTTTTTAAATGTTTGAGTATTTGAATGTCGCATGAATTTGAAATTATTAGTCTTAGGTGGTTGGTGTGGGAATAAAGTAATCCCAATATGCCATGACAAGTTTAAATGTTATTTGTGTTATTCTTTTAACAAATAGTTTATAATTTTAAAAGGCATTCATATTTATAGTGTTTAAAATAATAAATAATAATATTAATTAGTGATTGTAAATTTTGCAAAATTTTCACCGCCTTTTCAGAGTTCGTACCATCAGGGTAGCTCCCACCAGGACCAGGTCATGTTTATGTCTGCTCAATGTTAGGCGGACATGTCTTGTGTACAACATTATTGTGTTAACTCTAAATTATTTTTATCTTATATATGAAAATTAATTAGTGTTCCATTTCGCAACCTAAAAAAGGAAACAAAATGGTCGTAAAGGCAGTTGCACCAATAGTTGCAATCATTTTTATATGATGCAAAGGTAGTAGATTTATTTTACTATCTTGGGCTTTGAGCTAGCAGTACTTAGAATTAGTACTGTAGAGTGAGGATTGTGCAATAAAGTTAAGCTTGGACAGCTCCTGAGTTGTGTGCAAGACAGAGACCATGTGAGAGATACTGATTAAGATATTGAGAACTCCCGAGCTGTGGGAAAGTTGGAATGTGAGAACCCTTAGCTGTGTGCAAACATAGGGAAACTCATATTATTGAACTTTCATATTTATTTTAAATTATGTATTTATCAGACACCTCTCAAGCTGTATTTGAAATTACATGCTCAAGTACAAATCCCAATGTGGTGTTCGATGGCGGTTGATCATCAAGCATATGTTACATCAACATAACAAATTATTATGTGCAGATTTTTTTAGTATCTTTATCATATATTTCAATACATTGTAAATGTTGACAACAAAATTCAACTAACAATATATTTT